TCACTAAATTTTCTACGTACAGTGTATTAATCAGTAGTTGTCATAAAAATAATTCTTATAATTAAATAATAAGTAAAAATAATAATGTACCATTATATTACTTTATGAAGAAGTTTTTCTTCGCCGGTAACTGATTTTTTTTTATAAATCGTTACTTAAAAATCAAAACCTGTTTAAGTTATTATATCGTGCACATCTAAATGTATACCTATGTTTCTTATTATCTTGTCACGTGAAAAGTTTTTCAAGCTTTGTTTGTAATATCTAAGTTAAAAAAAACATTCAAGGATCTTATTTAAAAAAAAAGTATTCAGATCAAGCATCACAAACAGCCAATAAAATGCTGTACGAGCTCAAGGGTACAACAAGCCAGTCCTGTAAAGAACGGTACCTCGTGAGACAAAGACGAGCAACGGGTAAGTAAAGCCATATTTGATCAAATATGAAATATCTGGTTGTTTCCAACACCTTGTAATGTAGTGGTCTTATACTTTTAACTTAAGTTCTGTAAGGCCATAAAGCTATTTTCAACAAGGCGTTCTTTATATACACGGTGTCTAGACCACTATCGTGCTATTCGTATTTTAACCGGAATGATGAGCCCTAATAGTAATACTAATACTAGACGATAGGCCTCGTACTCGTAGGCAGAATATTTCTTAAGCAAATTCTACCTGGGCGACAAAGGGAAGCCATTTCTTGTTTATAAGTTTCAAACCCGTTATACGATAGAAAAAAAATAGTGGTTTATCAAAAAATCAATGTCGCTCGCCCAGTAAATGGGATTTTAAACTACAGAGCGACAATGATTTTTTGATAAACCACTATTTTTTTCTATCGCATAACGGGTTTGAAACTAAACTACAAACAAGTTTTCTTGACAGGGCGACATTTCTGTTGCCTAGTTACTTATTTTAAAATATTCTGCTCGTCGGTCATTGGATATAGTAGACGAAATGCAGTTGGTATTGGACAAATAAAAAAAAAACTTTTCAAAAACAATGTAAACAAGATGGTAGGGATGGCATATACATCAACCCTACATAATAGCACAGGCACAAAGTATAGTAACAGACAAAAATAGGATAAATTATATTCAACTGTGATTGAATAGTTATATATATTGCTATATGTTAATTCTTGTCTGTACTATTATGTGTATATGATACAAATGCCATCCGTACCATCTTGTTTGCATTGTTTTTGAAGAACTGATATTAGCCATCCCTACATTTACTTCCTTTTTTGAAATGTTTTTTCTTGACTTGTTTGCTTTAATGCAGTGTTTCAATAGACATAGGAAGGTTGTACTTATAACCAAGTTCTAAATACAATAAGGTTCTAACTGTAATATTTAATGTTTATCTATTATTGGCTGGAAATTCCTGTTTCACCCTGTACTTAAGTTTTTTTAAAGAAACACCAAGTTTCTGCAGGAAAGCTAACTTCAAGGGGTAATGATAACATCGTTTACACTACAATTATGATTTTTTTAAAAATTACTACTAGTTATTAATAATACTTATAAAAGCGTTTGAAACTAGTTAACCTCAGTGAAACTGGTTGACAACATAGTTTTGGTTTTTTTAGTTATCATGTAATAAAAAAAGAAGAACAAGAAATTCAATTTTTTTTTACTATGATATTTACAGACATTACCAGAACTTGTGACTCAGTCATTACATAGATATTGTT